ATTGTAGTGAACCACCTTCATTCCCTTCATATTGCATTGGTGAGATGTAAGTTTCACTCAAGAAGCTTCTCATGAACTGCTGTGTTTTGGATCCTACTCCCAAAAAGTTCCCACTCTGATCATTACAATCTTAACCTGTTCAAGTCTCGGGGTAATTGTTATCTTTCCTACATATGCTCATAAACAGTGCCTATTACTCTGTAGCCCTCTACCTTGTGTGGCTCTTGGACCTTGTACAAAGTGAACATCAGTGTAAAAAAAATAATAACTTCTGATTATGGGCAATACATTCCTTTCTGATTTTTCTCTGAACAGCATACTGATTTAGTTCTTAAACATGCCCAGGTGAATTATAGTTAAAAAATAAATTGAAAAAAAATGAATGTTTGAATCAAGCAAAATCCAAGCTAATGGAACTCTGGAGATCTTCATTCATTCATAGCTTAATCAATATCAATCTCTTTCTTACACATAAAATAATCAAGGGTCGGCTATTAAAAATTCCTCTGTAAAGTTGTAGGGTAAAATATACTCTTTCTTTTCTCTGGATATGATTTTGAATTTACTATTTTGCATAATGTCTGTTATATAAAATAGATAAGTATAAAATTATCTTTTACTTATATATTTGTGACATCTGTTCAAATACTGGAAATTTTGGCATCTGCCTACTTTCTTTTATATCCCTTTAGTATTGACTGTATCACTGTATGTTTGATTAGATATACCATGAATTAAAGTTTTTAATAGATCCTACCTATGATATCACGATTTGCTTAACCCTACAGCTTATTTTTAATTTTGATTATTCTTTGATTTTTATTTTTTTTATTAGATTTTTATTTTTTTTTACATCTTTATTTTTTTTTTTTTACGTTTTTGATGATTCTGTTTGAAAATAAAATATTTCTTTTTTCTCTCTTTCCAGGTAAGTGAATCCATGCCAAAAATTCTGCTGTGAATGATCTATTTTTCAGGTAGGCCTAAAACGTTTTTCTCTTTGAAAGAGTTCATGCCTTTCAAATCAGGAATCTCTTGGCTTAAAGAAGGTCTAAAAACTCACATCAATGTCAGCTTGCAAAAAAAAAAAAAAAATCATAATTTTTTCCCCTAAGCTATTTTTGGTATTTAGTATAAGAACTATATGAGTGACAGCTGTATTAAATTTATTTAACATTTCTTGGTTCTGCAAAGTCTAACCTTCATGGCTAGGATCCGCCATATCAGTTATATTGTAGCAAACCACCCACACTCCCTCTGTATTCTATTGCTGAGAAGTAAGTTCTACTCAAACAGCTTCTTTCTGCAAACCACTGCCCAATAGAACAGACTCTCAAGGGGATGTTTCCCTGATCACTACAATCTTAACCTGTTCAAGTCTAGAGTTACCCATTATATTTCCTATTCTACTCTCTAATGTAACCTATCTCAAGTGGCTCCTGGACCTTGTATATGGTGAACCCTACTTTAAAAAAAAAAATTCCAAAAGGTGTTGACCAATCTCCCATTTCTATACAAATATAAACTATGATAAAATATTTATGTTACTTTGGAGTTAATTTTCCTACCATAGGCATAACTTTTCTCTCTCTGTGTTCTTTCCTTTCTTCACAGTTTCTTTTCTTTTTTGTTTTCAGTGATACTTGCTTCTTTATCACCCATTTCTGTTTTTGTGGTAATCATTCCTCCTGTGTGTTTACTCAAAATCATCAACTAAAATGTCTGCTTTTTTTCTTTCCTTATTTTGCTTTTAATGCACCTTGTGTGTTAAATTCTCCAAGCCTGCTTTCCTCATATATCCAAAAAATAATAGCTTTTACTTTCTGATCATTAGTAGCAGTTTCTTTGCAGTAACTTCTTAGAACCTCCTAATTTGTCACATTCTTTCAAAATTGTTTTTCAACAATGATAAAACCACATCTCAAGTATTTTTGTTTTTTTGTGATGAAATTTTCCAGGTATTGATTGCCATATAGCATGTTAGACATTATATAACAGTCCTGCACAGTTTTCACTCTGCATAAAACTATAACACCTTTCTTTCATTTTCATATTAAATTCACAATATTTGCATGTTTACAAATAAATTTTTTGGGGCTTTTTAATCAAATGACTTTTATTAATATTTTTCTTTGATCAAGAGAAATATTTTCATTCAATTTTACAAATATTCTCTGATGACATCTGGATCAAAGCTGCTAAATCCTCCCTCTTCCGGCTCAATCAAGTGAAAAAATGATTATTTGCTTTCTGATAGATGAAAATTTGCTGGCCTCTTGTTTAACACTATTTTAATGACAGATGTTCAAGTGAAATATATTTCTTGGTTCTACCAGTCCAGACCTCCACAGCTTGGACCCGCAATGCCATGTTGATAGCACTAATTAATCCTTATTCCCTAAATATTCCACTGGTGAGGAATATGTTGCACTCAGATGTTCTTCTCCAGAACTGTTGCAATTTGGAATGGACCTCCAAGAGGATGATGCTCTATACACTATAATCTAAGTCTTGCTAGTCAACCATTGTCTATCATACATATCCTCATAATATGCAGGCTTTGCTCCCTTCCTACTTAATAACCCTCTACCTTGAGTAGCACTTAGGCCTTGTATTGGTTCATATGTTAATTATTCTTGCAGATGGGTAACGGTCAATCTAAAACATTGTCATAAAAAAAAAAGCAAATTAAAAAAAAAGCAAGAAAAACAAAAAAAATAAATACCAGTGAAAATGTTTTCGCATTTGATATCTATTTTCTGGTTGATTATTATATACTGTATTTGTTGATGAGAATTGAAGATCAGTTATCTAAAGCTCTGCAGGAATTATCAAAACCTGATAATTGTTCTAACACTTCCTGCTAATAGAAATGTAAGACTAAATATTAAGGAATAAGGAAAATTGTTGAAAGATTAAAACAGAAAAGATTCTTAATCTTAACTCCCAGTTCACTAAAAAGAATTAATCAAAAAATTATTATTCACGAAAATTTGATATATAAAGATTATTTCTCTTAAAACTTTAAAAAGCTGCAACTTACAGAGATGAAATACTTTGTATGCAGGTATATGATGGACTTCTGTTGTCTTCAATATACAAGTCTCCAGCAGTTCAGTTCTTAGAATTAAACTGCCAGACTACCCACCCATGATTAGATGATAGTGGTGATGGCTTATACAGAGCCTACCACACATTTTGGAAGAACATATACAGATGCACATAGTGGACCAAAATGTTTCCAAATAACTCACTTCAGGTTTTGAATTCAGGAGTTGTCCTTTTCCCAGTAGAGAGGATAAAGAGATGAATTCATACCTTTCCCAGGGGTCTTTCCACATAAGGGAATGTAAAAATACTTGACTGTATGGGTATTTTTAGCATTGGTAAATCTGGGAGGCATGGTGGAGTAATGGATAGCAGCTTGGATTGTTAGGAATCGGAGAGCCAACTTCGAATTTCAGTTGAATCCATTATATTTACTTATATGCTAATACTCTTGGGAAAGCTATGAATCCTCTTCTTCTCCTCCCAGCTATGGGTAAGTAGCAGGACTGGGTTCTATAGCTTTGGATGTCAACTGGTCTACTGCAGAAAGAAATGGCAACCTACTGCAGGAAAAATCTGCCTCATCAGCCATGTATCGAAAAATACATGATGGCCTAAGCATGTATCACACATGGCACATGACTGACTGAAAGCTAGATATTTGAATATAATAGCATGCATATGACAAAATAGCCATGATAGAATTTTTATTTTTAATTCACTTGAAAGCTTTCACTATTACACTACAGCATTTCTTTAAAAACCACCTTAAATGAGACATTTTTATATTCTTTTATTGTAAGAGATAAAATTTCAGTAACTACAGTGTATTTGCTTTTATTCTGACAAAAACTAAACACTTCAGAATATAAAAATTATCCTTAAAACGACATCATATTTTGTTTTCATCAATAAAATCACCACAAAGACAAATCAAAATTTGAACGCTTTGGTAGTAAGAAGAACCTGTGAAGAGACTGAAAAAAAAGAAGAAGAAGAGACCGTGTAGGCACTTACATTTTATCTTTTACTTAAAAAAAAAAAAAAAAATATCTCATTTTAAGGTGTTTATCTTTAAAGAAATGCAGAGTTTCCCCAAACTTTTGGCCTGTAGTGTATATAGAAGGTATTTTTAGCATCAGAAAAGGTAAATATTTTAGTATGATAGTATGCACATCAAACAATAACAATGACAGTAAAAAAGACAAAAAAAAAAGACAAAATTCACTTGAATACTCCTATTACAGAAAGCATGTTTGGCATTGGTAAAGCTATATATATATATATATATATCCATATTCAATTTCCCCAAAACCAATAATGTATGAGAGAAAAAAAAATTCACTGATAATTGTTTCCATTTACAATGATGATTTTTCTTTCTTTAAGGCGTCTTTGATTTTTTAAAATTGGGCTCAGAACTGGGGAGGTAATTTAAAAAAGAAGAAAAAACTCCATCATTCATTAAATGGATATTTTTCTGAAACTGGTTTAGTTTCAGGCCAGCACGAACAAATAATGTCTTCATTTCATTCCGAAATCCTTTTTAAATATATCATAACAAAAGTAAACCTTAACTAAATTAAATGATATCATAAGTTTATGCAATATCTGCGATAGTTTCCAATTCATTCAGTCACTAGTAAAATGAAGGAACAAAGAAAATAAAAATAAAAGAAATCAGTGCTTTTACATTGATTCCCATTATGTAAATAATTATAGCTTTTATATGAGGGTATTATTTTTATAAGATGTACAGGGAAAAGAAGAACTTTGTTATTTCTTAGACTTATTTATGATTTGTTATAGTGAGAACATGAGTCCAATTAAATGTAGCTTTCTGTTTTCCTTTAAGCAATTTTATTTATTATTCCTGATCAATGAGTTTTTAAGTCATATCTCAATTTTTCATATTTTCTTTCTTTTTATATCTTTTTCAATTTCTTTCTTTTATGATTTTGCTTTTTATCTTTCTTTACTCTTCCTTGTTCATGGCTCTCTCAACATCATTGCCTTCTCTCTTACCTCTCTTTGCCTTCTGTCTTAGCTCGCTCTCTCCTTTGCCTTCTGTCTTAGCTTTCACTCTCTCCTTTGCCTTCTGTCTTAGCTTTCACTCTCTCCTTTGCCTTCTGTCTTAGCTTTCCTCTCTCCTTTGCCTTCTGTCTTAGCTTTCACTCTCTCCTTTGCCTTCTGTCTTAGCTTTCACTCTCTCCTTTGCCTTCTGTCTTAGCTTTCACTCTCTCCTTTGCCTTCTGTCTTAGCTTTCACTCTCTCCTTTGCCTTCTGTCTTAGCTTTCACTCTCTCCTTTGCCTTCTGTCTTAGCTTTCACTCTCTCCTTTGCCTTCTGTCTTAGCTCTCACTCTCCTTTGCCTTTTCTCTTACCTCTCACTCTCTTCTTTGCTGTTTGTCTTGTCTGTCTCTCTTCTTTGCTGTCTATCGTTCCCTCTGCTCTTTTTATTTTTTTTTCTTTCTTTCTTTCCTTCCTTCCTTTTATTTTCATTTCTTGCTTACCCTTTCATTATAACTTGCTTTACCTTTTTCTCCCTCACTTTTTCATTCATTCACCTCTCACTGAGTTTAAATTTGCTATCATCTTAGAACTAACAGACAATTCATTGACACTGTTGCTTCCTCATCTCTGACCCTTTCTGTCCATTGATAACATGCCAGAAAAAGACCTGTCCACTTTCACACCAACTCTTGTCAGGCATGCCTCTCTCTCATTCTTTACACTCAAACTCATATTAAGGGGGAAACAGTTGGCTTAGAAGTTGTCAAAACAGACACTGTGACTTCAAAAATCATAATATTTCATCATAAAGATTACAAATCTTACAGTTTGAAAGTTGGGTCATCAAATCTACTTTTTGTTTATGTTTTTTAAAACTGTGGAGCAGAAATAGGAATTGACTGAATTTCTTTTTTTAATCATATCACCCCCAAGCAAAGTTTTAATAGATGGGAATAGTAAAAACTACCTTCCAGAAACTAAGCAAAGTTTTCATAGATAGGAATAACAAAACATAACCTTCCAGAAACTAAGCAAAGTTTTCATAGATAGGAATAGCAAAACATAACCTTCCAGAAGCTAAGCAAAGTTTTCATAGATAGGAATAGCAAAATATACCTTCCAGAAACTAAGCAAAGTTTTCATAGATAGGAATAGCAAAATATAACCTTCCAGAAATTAAGCAAAGTTTTCATAGATAGGAATAGCAAAATATAACCTTCCAGAAATTAAGCAAAGTTTTCATAGGTAGGAATAGCAAAATATACCTTCCAGAAACTAAGTTTTCATAGATCTGAATAGCAAAACATACCTTCCAGAATCTCAGCAATTTTTTAATATATAGGAATAGTAAAAAAATACCTTCTATAAGCTAAATTAATTTTTTGTAATACAGGAATAATGTTTCGCTGCTGACACTTGAGTTTGAACATAGATCACCAGTATGCAAACACAGGCGATCCCATTATTGAATTAAGTAGACCAGATAACCATAGAGGAAACATAAGTAGGAAGTTGTATGATGTCCAGTTGGTCGTTATTTCTAATTTATCCCCTAGACTATACAAACTGCTATTCTCTATACTATTTCTCTGTTTGGATCACTATGTCCCATTTGAATAAATATCTCTAATTATTAGATTTTTATTTTTAATCAATATCACCCCATGCAAGGCAGTAAAGCCACTAAGACATAAGTTGTTATAGAGTGTGAAAGAATTAGGAACAGAAAGATTAGTAATGAGAGGAAGTAGTAATCTGGAGAGTAGATAGTGACTGACATTGCAATCTCTCTCTCTCTCTCTATATATATATATATATATATATATATATATATATATATATAAAGGATGAAAACTGACTGGAGCACACCACTGTGGTTTCAACTTTTATGGTCTCTTCAGGTGGTTTCTTTAGCAAATCAACTACATGGAGCTCAACAACTTAAGCACTTTCAAAACTGGAAGTACTAAGGAAAAAAATGGCTAACTTTAACCAGGTTCAAATAACCAAGGGTTGAACTTCTTAAAATGTCTGCATTTGGTCATGATCTTTGACCTCCCGTTCAGCAATTCATTGCTGTTTTAATATGTTGCTATAGCCAGTTTTTCTTCTTGGCATAGCCTACACATATTTTCAACTATTGTGTTAGTCTTTAAATTTCTTAAAATTCTCCATTTAATGCTTGGACTTTTGCGATGTCTCTCTCTAAATTTCTACTAGTAGCTTGCTAGCTTCATGCTGTACCTATGATCCAGAATTTTAAAAGAAGAGGTGTAATTGTACCATCTCCTCTTGAACTTGCCCTCAGTATGCCCGATGTATTTTTTGTGCTACTATTTTCACCTTCCACTTCAGTACAATACACAACGTGTTCAGTACAGCATAATCCATTTAAAGAACAGTTATTTTTTTTGTCCTGCAATTGCATCATAAAAATTCAGGATATGGAATTGGTAAATACTAAACACTCAAATACCTCAGTGTATGCATTGGTTGCAACAAATTTGGTATATGAGATCAGAAAATAAACATCCTGGGTATGACAATAAACTACATCTGGCAGCAAGGCCTCTGAGAAGGATGTTTTGAGGAACATGGAACCAACTCTTCATTGCTGGTGTTCCCAGGTCAACCCTGACCCGAAGTTGTAGCACTTGTTAGGGTCCCAGTTATGAGCAAATAGTTAACCCCCAAACTGGGGTCAAAACACTATGTAAGTATAAAAATACATTTTTATAGATGTATTGCTAGTATTTTTACTATGTTTAGTATTTACCAATTCCATATCCTGAATTTTTATGATGGATTCAGTAAATACTAGCAATACATCTTTAAAAAAAAACATTATCAGCAATACTCTCAGCATAAACTCTCTTACAAAAATACGTCAATGAAACCTGATCTACAAACTGATTTCTTATAATGGATACATATTCTGTTCATACAAACCTATCCTAAAAATCTTGTTGGCATTAAATAACCAATTGAGGTTCATATGCCTTAAAACAAAATAAACCAAACCAAACCAGAAAATTGAACATAAAATATGCTGCACTTGGGTAGATTCCTGCAACACTGCAAACTACAACAAAGCCAAAACCTTAACCTAAAAAACTCGAGTCATGTTCTTAAATAACCTCATCAGATAGAGACTTTCATATGCATGGCATATATGGAACCAAACTCATTCAAGAATATCTAAACTGTGAGCTGTATACAACCACTTTCTTTCCTAGATCTTTTCTTTAAACTGGTGCAACAAAATCACAAATGAAGCATTTTCTCCAAATAATGAAAATCACATCATTTGAACATCTTCCAACAGCAGCAAAAACACGAACTACTGAAATATGTGACCAGAAGAGAAAATAATGATATAATCAAAGCATTAACTTTCTACACTATATTAAAAAAAAGGTTTGCAGGGTAATGTTGCTGATTTGAATCAACCCACAAGAAAGAAAAAATTAAGAAAGTTTTTAAAATATAAAATATTTTTAATTTTGTTTTTTTACAGCTAATTTTTTCTCAGCTTGTATGAGTGTCAATGTTTATTGTTTGTTAAGATGAAAAAAAAGTGATTTCTTTGCATGTATATATGAGAAAAAAGATGCAAGGGAGAAACTGAGGAGGAAGAGTGTAAATGTAACATAGCTTGTTGAGGCAGAGTGTAAATGTGTCACGTAGCTTGTTGAGGCAGAGTGTAAATGTGTCACGTAGCTTGTTGAGGCAGAGTGTAAATGTGTCACGTAGCTTGTTGAGGCAGAGTGTAAATGTGTCACATAGCTTGGTGAGGCAGAGTGTAAATATGTCAGGTGAATGAATAAGGGTATCTTTTTGAAGCTGATGTTGTGAATTGATGTCACATGTATCCATCTCTATCTCCTTACCAACTTGTCTGGTCTAGAAACTTTGCTCAAATACTCTTCAAAGGGATCATGATTCACATTTTTTTTTATTGTTAGCAGAACCACAACCCATTGGATGGAAAATGTTCAATATTTATTTTCAAAGGATTAATTTAATAACGGAAAGGATGCATGGATCCTTCAACTCAGAAACCAATTTTTTCATTTGACTGTCTTGGTGTTTATGTCTGTATTCACTCTACAGCAAGTCTTATCATTATTACAGCAAAAGCAATAACAGCAAACTTAAGAAGTATAATTTCTTGAAAAACATTTTTGAGAAAAAGATTTTTAAAATTTCAACCAGAAGTAATAATGTTTGGTCAGTTAAATGCTGGATGTTTCCTGTATGGAAAAGGCTAATTCCATTATAACCATTAATCTCTACATTACGGTTAGGCAAAAGTTTTAACCATTTTTTTGTCTTTTTGCAGAATATTTTATTTATAAAAAATTCATAGCATGATCACTCAGTCATCAAAATATCTTCTACAGCTGTTTTTATGATCTTGCACCACCTTACAGTACCCAATATTGCTCGACCAATTGAAACTACTTCTTTGGATATTTGCTATCATAAACATTGTTTTTCAGTTGATCCATTCATCAGGTTCATTCTGGAAGAAAGAAACAAACTATTTTCTCAAGGAAAAACTGATGAGTGCTGAAGTATTCATCATGCAAAAGGTTTTGTTTGTAGTAACAATGCGAATAAAAAGTTCAGTTGCCCAAATAGTATTGAGTATTTTGCCAGAAGTTTTGATACTAGTATTATTTTTATTATTATAATTATTATTATAATCTGCATGCCACTGTTTTCTAAGATCAGTGATTAAAAATGGCTTCAGGTGGATAAATATTAGAATACTTTATTTATATAAATTCATAGCATCATTACTCTGACATCAAAATATTTTCTATAGCTGTTTTTATGACCTTACAGCAAGTTTTGGTTAAACTTTGTAGATTTATGATCTTACAACACCTTTCAACTAAATTATGTCAATTTATGACCTTTCATCACCTTTCAGCTAAACTATGTCAATTTTGTATTTTATCATCTTAGGACTCTTCCTCAGTTTTGATTCATTGAATTCTTGAAGGAATTTTTTGTATCTTTAACTTGATGGGACTGCTGAACAAAATGTTGGGTCAAGTGAATGAAACAATTGTCAGAAGGTAACAAGTTTTAAGAGTTTGCTGCATGAGGAAGAATTTCTCTTTTGACCTTTAAAAAAAAAATAATCACTGCCTAACTTTTGCTCCCAAAATATTTTTTTCATTCCAACAAACCAAACCAATTGGAGTATTGAATAGCACAAAAAGTTCTTAACCTGGCAAAAAAAGGATTGCAAAATCAATTATGTTTTATGAAGCTGAGAACCCTATTCATAAAAAATTCTTTTTGCATCAAATTATACAGAGAGAATTTTGTTTTAGTAAATTCTATTCAGCTTGAGAAGGCCTCATTTAGCCAAGATTTTCTCCATTTTAAACTCTTTTGATGAACTCCATATGCATTGCTAGTGACTGTCTTGTTCAATTTTTTTTCTTTCTCAATAAAGAGAAAAATAATTGTTTACATACTAACTAATATTACTTTCCACAAGTTTAATTTCCTCATTCCTGACATTTTTCCAAGTCTTGTAAATGATTTGTAGTATTTGACTGATTGCATAAGTGTTCAAACACTGGCTTAAATTTCAACACTTGTAAGTTTTTC